GGCTCGTGGCAACAAGAGCTCTTAGCACTGACTACGACAAGGAAGGCCAGCCTGAAGACAAAGCCAACAGAGAGGAGGGCAGAGCCAAGAGAATTGCAAAGAAGGGCAACTGGAGCCTCTACCTCTGGATTCTTTCATCACAGGAGTGTCTTTCTTTTACAGTCAGTTCTCCTCCACTGCATGTGGAACACATTTACTGAGAGCCCTGATCTCTGTGGAAAAAGGAGTTTCTCTCGCAAGTATATGTATATGCTGATTCTGAAGAAGCAATCATCTTGGACCACATGCATGTCTGTTGGACCGATCACCACTGGGGCTCCATGGTTGGCCAGCCCTGGAGCGATGCCCAGTCCTATAGTGAGGAGGGTATAAAGATCACAGGCTCAGGAGTAAGCCAGTTAGATTCACCCTGTTTTATGCTGGCTCCTGGGAGACCTTGGGCAAGTGACTTCACTTCTCCAAGATTCTGTTTTCTCATTGGTAAGGTGTCAGTGATAACAACATTCACCTCAAAATGTGGCTGAGAGATAAACACACAAGTTTAGTGATGGCAGTGGCCATGTCCCTGACCTGCTCAAATGATGCCTCTTATTGATTCTAGTTCTCTATACCCTTATTATTATAGCTCCCAAGTTATTTTATTCAAAATCTTTATATATCATTTACTGTGTAGCAGGGAGATGTGTTCTATGCACATATCTCCCTTTTACTGTGCCCCTGTCACAGGTAAGGAACCTGTTGCACAGAGGGGTTAAGTCACTTGCCCAAGGTTACCCAGTAAGTGGCAGAGCGGCAGAGCTGGGGTTCAAATTCAGGCATCCTGACCTCAGGGGCTGTGCTACTAATTACTCGGTTATGACATCTCCCAGAAAACCACACTTCATGTACTTGTGAGGTGGATATATCATGGGGTGGACAGACAGATGAACTTGAGTGAGTGGCCTCCATGAGCTACAATGGAGAAGAGGATCCCTAGCCAGCTTCTCTGTGGAGAGTTCAGGAGCTGCCTCCTTAGCTCCATTCAATTATAGCAGTGTGTTCTAGAATGGGCTTCAGGGTTGCATGAACAACAGGCTGCCTGGGCTGTAGGTGTGGCCCAGTCTGCTGTGAGGATGCAATGATTTTTGTGGCATTGTTTGGTCTCTTGTAGCTCTAGAATTATGCCCTAGGATTTCAGTCGGCTTTGAGTATGTGTGTGCGTGTGTGTGCGTGTGCGTGCGTGCGCGTGCATCTCACCAGGCTATTTGGGGCTGGAGCTAGAGTACCCTGTGTCTCTTCCTCTCTCCTTCTGCACATCCACTCTGTCTGTCTCTTTGGTCTGATTGGCGCATCACCCTCTGCCTGTAACCTTAGCTCTCCAGCACCAACTTTCCCTGTCATTGCTGCCAACGTGCACACATTTCCCAAAGTGCTTGGTGTGGTTGGTGCCTTTGAGGGTATTACTGATTTTGACAGATGCCTTTTCTTCCCCAAACTCGCTAAAAACTTCACTGTACACATGGTAGTCCTGATAAGTTCCTAGAGACCTTGAACAATTTTTTTGTCTAATCCATGAAAAATAGCACATTGTGAGGCCTATCAGGGTATCAGGCAGGAATGAGACCCCAGGGATCTTGCTTCTCACCCATTTATGAGTTTGTTTTCTTTCAGGAGGTACAAATTTTTCTATTTCCTGGCTTAGAAAGACCTTCTGCAAAGATAGTTCCCAAGGTGGCCTGAAGCCAAATGAGCCTTTTCTCATCATTTAACAAGGTCATTGGACTCTACAGATACCAGCCCTTTCTCTTTCTTCTGGAAGCCAAAGCCCGTTGATAGAAACTTGAGGAGGAAGCTAGTGAGAGCCATGCTCACTATTTTACTCCTTCCTGGAACATTTTCACGGGAGGAAAATGTCCAAGGGCGTGGATGCTTTTCCATTTGGAGGGGGTGAGACACAGGTGGTCACTCTTTTCCCTGCCATTCAAACACTGTGAGAAGCGCCCTGGCTTCTCTACTGTAGTTCTTCGCATCAAGAATCCATTTAATTCAACTTTAACCTTTCTTCAGGCCAACTACTGGGCTGGAAATAAAAAGAAGCCAGGTCCAACACCCCTGGCAGCCCTCTTGGAACACCATCGGGGGCTTAGGGGAGGAGGTAACAAGTGACGATGCAGGTCACCACCTGCAGTTCTTTCATGAGGAGGAACACATAGTGGTGTTGAAACCCAGGACTTCTAGTCTGAGATGGAGATATTTTTAGGGATGGATCCGGGTCCTTCCTCTTTCCCTCCCTCTGATGCTAATGTGGCCATCTGCATCTCCCAGACAACTTCCACAAGCACGCATTCACCATCCTAGAAGAGCGGCTGGGGGAGAGATTTCTATTAAATATAGAATACTGAGTTGTGGCATAAAGAAGCTGAGTGTGCCTGGCATGCTAAGAGTGGGGCGGGGCACTGGAAACCTGGAGCCCATTCCTGTGCCCTGTGATGCTCACAGGTGCCTTCCCATCCCTGGGGTTCCATTTAATTTTTTATTTCTTCGATCTATTAAGTGAGGGGCTTAGATATTTTCTCTAAGTTCTACTCTAATCTTGCATGATCTTTTCTTTGGTGATCTTAGTTGTATAAATTCCCAGACACAGAGCATGGCAGAATACCCCATGGTTGCTGCTGTGTCCAGAAGAGGGGGCGTTGTGACCTCCTGTCCACCCCCACACCCAGAAGATGGCTAGCAAAGGTGGCTTGTGTGTGGTGGCAAGGGGCTCTGACCAGTGGCTCAGGAGGTCCCAAGCCTTACCTCCCGCCATGCAGTTAGCCCGCATCACCTCCCAGTCTGCCCTATGGCCAAGGAAAAGCTCATTACTCAGCCCTGAAACCCACCTAGGAAGGGTTTTCTGACCCGAGCCTCCTGAGTTAAAAACACTGGGAGTGGAATAGGGGGAGAAGGAAGAGGTCCTAGGAACCCATTGATAAATTTTAGTTTTTGAGCTATGAGAACTTCTGTGCTGAGCAATGCTATCTCTATAAAACTTGGTTGGCCCACAGTGTTCCTGAAGTAGTCTTAAATTTGTTTAATTTGGAGAGCACTGTGCTATAGATAAGGTGATGGAGACTATAAAAAATAAAAGTAATAAAAAAATACAGCTTCCACCGCAGCAACTACTTCTATTTATCAGCTGCATTATAAATTACACAAATACAGGAACCACATCCAGCTCAGAGTAGCATTTGTGCAATGAATGAATGACCTGTCTCCATCTCCATTGCCAACAGGGGCCTCTTAAGCCCAGGCCAGAAGCAAGAGGCTTTGTATCCAGTGAGGCCTCGTGCTGGGGGCACAGGTAACACTGTTTCCTGAAGCTCCTCTCTGTCTCAGCTTTCCTTTATCGCTCTGTAAATAAGGCCAGGCCCTGCTGTCTCTGGTCTCATCTCCTGTCTCTGATAGCACCCAGGCCTGAGGTCAAGAGAATGTTTGGGCAGGTCAGGCCCCATTGCGGTTCCTTCAGACAGAGACCTGGCCTGTCCAGCACTCTAGAGGTATGGGCAGGGCTGTACAGCCCCCGTACGCAGTGGTTAGACATGCAGCTTCTGAAATCAGATAGCTCTGAGCTCAAATACACTCTAATGCTTATTAACCATGTGACCTTGACAAGTTACTGTACCTCGCTGAATCTCCGTTTCCACATCGGTAAAAGGGGATGATAATAACGGTGCATGCCTTACAGATCTGTTGTCAGAATTAAATGAGAAAAATGTTCACAGAGAACACTCCAACTAACATCACAGGCAGAATTCCATCAGAGTCGAGAACTGCTCCCTGTGAGTAACTGCTGGCAGTCTTGCAAACTAAGCAGGGATGGCTTTTACTGAAAGTTCACCTGCAGGAAACTAAACTCTGAGGATAATAAGAGAGCTTCCAGGTTGGACACTCTCTGGGAAAACCCAAAAGGGCTGGAGCAGCATCACTTGGTAAGGAGTAGAGAAACAAAACAAAACAAAACAAAACAAAGAAACATAAGCCCCAAGTTTGAAGCCCCAAGCTGCTCTGTTTATACTTGCCTGGCAATGGAATACAGTCTTTCCAGAGGGTGGTCTGGTGTTGTGGAAATTCCAGCAGCCTGGAGTCACAGTGCTGTTTTCTTATTGCCCAATCCTGCCTATTCTACTCCCCACTATGTCAGCTCAGTTCCAAGAACATTTATTGATGCCTACTTTTGACCAAGCTTGTGATGAGCCCTGGGCTCCAGAGGTGAGCAAGACATGACTTCTGCCCATGTGATCCTTGTTTCATATCCAAGGTGTCTGCAGTGTTCACAGTTTGCAAAGCGCTTCACACCGCACTAGGCCTCACACCATTTACACTGTGTTTTCTGTGAATGGTGCTTGGGGAGAGGCAGAGCAGAGATTAAGGTCCCCATTTATCAGCTAAGCAAAGAGGGTCCTTAGGTAACAGGTATCAGTACCACTCCCCTACTTCCCACCAGCTTTATTCTAAGCAAAGGCAATCCAGGTGAGGGGAATAGCCTATCAGTTAGCTGGGCGTTTGCTGAAAACTCTGAATGGTCAAGAGGTAAAGCACGGAGGGAGACTCACAGCCATTACTGGAAGTGCTTCCCAAAGTCCAAAAAGGGAGGACGGGGCTCGCTTTCCAGCTGCCTAGACTAAGAAGATTGCGGCCCAGCCCTTGCCTCTCTCTTGACATTAGAACACCAGCACCTAGGTTTTCATCTCACTGCACCACTACGCCCCGCCCACAGCGGCCCTCCCCACTGGTCTCAAACCTGCGCCGGTCAGGGTGGCGGCGCCCTCCGCTCCCTGAGCTCGCGCCCAGCAGCAGCCCACGTGCGCCTGCAGCAGCCACGGTGACAGCTGGCCCCAAAGGAGTGGAGCGGCCGGCGTGCGGGCGGCGTGCGGGGGTGGGTTCCGCGCCGCGCTGCCATTGGTGGCAGCCCCCGGGCCGCGGGCGGGGCCGGGCCCCTGACTGCCCTGTCATTGGCCACGCCGCCGATGGGGGAGGCTCCAAGCTTCGTGGGCCGCGAGGCGCAGAACTGCGGGCGCTCGCCCGGCTACTCTTGCGCGGAGCCGTCTAGCTCGCTCCCAGCTCTGCAGGCGGCGTGCGAGTCCTGACCGCTGCGCCCGCGGCCCGAGGCGAAGGCAGGAGCTGGCCCGAGGCTCCGTGGCCGGCGCGGCTCTCGGTAAGGCGGAGCGGCGCTTGGCTCCGAGGTGGGTGGGCGGCCGGGAGGACAGGCGTGGGTGGGTGCCGTGCCGGCAGACCCTGGACTCTGAGCCCCAGCTGGCGCCCGGGAGGGTCAGGTGCGGCTCCAGCATCTCCTGCCTCAAACCCACCGGGCGCCCGGCGAGCAGGTGGCTCTGTCCAGGAGGCCGGGGCTGCCGCTGTCAGTCTCTGAACGGATTAGAACGAAAGAAGAGCCTCCCTTCCGCGCCCAGAACTACCTCTTACTCTGCCCGCCAACACCCAAAACCGGCAATTCTAAGCCTAGAAAATCCCCAAACGTCAACGCGGAGCCGGTGCAATGCGCCAGCGGTGCCTCCTGCCACCGGGGCGGAAGATTATCCCCAAACTTTGCTTCCCACGGTTTGGGCTCCGTGCCTTTCACGTTCTCTCCTGGCTCTTCACTGCCCCCGTCTCTTCCCCTCCCTCCTTAACAACAGGAAGTGAAGTCGGGTCAAATGCCAGTGGCCTGGCCGCCTGCGGGCTAAGACCGGGTCTGGGGCCGGGGCCGGGGCCGTGGCGGGGGCCCGAGGGGCCGCGACTCTGTATTCTGGGCGCCGCGCGCCCCCAGCAGCCCGCGCTCGCGCCAGGCTCCGGCGCACCCCTCCCAGGGCGTCCGCAGCGCCCACCTGGCCGTTGCTGAGCAGGCGCCAGGGAGAAGGAGGGTCTTGCCCGCAGCGCCTGCCGCCGCTGACCTTGCTTCCAGGCTGGAGCCGGCGGGGTTAACTTTATCCTAGGCTGGCCTCTCGGCAGAGCTGGGAACGGCCTTTGCTGGATGGGGAAGAGGCGTGTTGAAACCAGAGTAAACGTGTACCTCTTTCCACATTGTTTATTCTGAAGCCTGGGTTCTTAAAGCCTGAGAGCTTTTATTTGGAGGTGCGTCAGGCTCTGCGGGGGGCGGGGGGGGGTGACTTCAGCAGCATGTGGACCCTCCTGCTGTCAGTCTTGCCTGCTCACAGTCTTCAATGGCTTAGGCGAAGGTTGAAATCACTAACCGGCCCCCTTCTGGGTAGGTCCCCCGGGAATAAAGCCAGCGGCAGGTTGGCCCTGACCACGACGTTTGCATTCCCGGGTGCCCTGACCCGTACACAAGCTCTCTTCCTTTCCCCTTCCCAGGGGAAGAGGACCCAACAAGTTGGCCTCCGTTCTCCAGGGCAGCTCATCTGGTGCTTTGGAGACTCTAATTGCAGTAAGAACTCGCCTTTAGGCAGATAGAAGACAAGTTTATTAAGCTTCTGCTGGGGGGACAGGTCCTGCCCTGTGGTACTTTTGCAGCCGATTTCATGGTTACTCTTCAAAAACTCAGTTTCGCCCTCACGTTAGAGATGGGGAAAGAGGCTCAGGTAGAGTGAGTGCCCATGGCCATACAGAACGTAGCTGAGCCAGGACTTAAAGCAGGTTGAGCTTTGCCAGAACTAAGACCGGTGCTTTTCTCGAGCCCCATGGCAGTGGAAAGTGGTGTGCGCGACTGCCTGCCCCTGTGCCCTGCTGCTTGTTCATGGCCCTGCTAATGTGCTCACGGGAGGCTCCTGGTCTCTGCAAAGATTCTGTCCAAAGATTCAGGAGATGCTTCTTTGGTAAAGCACTTGAACTGGCCCAGGTTAGCCCAGATTATTCAACCTACGGACCCTTGCCCACCGTGTCCTCCGATCAAGGGTGATGGCTGGTGTTTGTCATGCTATGGCGGGAAGGGATTGAATGTTGGTGTTTGGGTGCTATTTGGGGGCAAAGCTTGCCTATGCCATGGACTCGGTCTCCCCTCTGAGAGGTGGCTTCTGGGATGCTCTAAGGGAACTGTGTTAGCTGGAATAACCTCTACCTTAGGACTGATTCTAGTTTTATTTTTATTTTTTTGGAGGGAGGAAAAGTGTTGGAGTATACCAGTTAATGGTTAGTGGCTGATTGAAAATTGAAAATTGAGCAGGCCTTCATAAAAAATGATGTTACTATTACCCCTACCACCTTCCTTCAGGGCCAGGGCTCTGGCTTCCTGTTCACCCCCCTCTTCTAAAAGAAGGTCATGACTACTTTCTGAACTACTTTCATTATATTATAATGACTTTCATTATAACATAAGCTTACTACCAACCAGTTACACTCTGTTTGTTTGTTTATTTATTTATTTATTTTCTTGCTTCAGGGAGGGGCCTGAGACAGAGAGAGATCGTTTGTGTTAGGGGTGGCAACCTTGTGCAAGGCTTTAAAAACTATTTTTCAATTACAGTTGACATTCAATGTTCTTTATATTAGTTTCAGGTGTACAACATAGTAATTAGACATTTACATACCTTATGAAACGATTACCCCAATAGGTCTAGTACCCACCTGACACCATACATAGTTATTACAATATTATTTATTGACTGTGTTCCCTCTGCTGTACTTTATATCCCTGCGACTATTTTAATAACCCAACCAGTTTACACTTTAGCGTACATCAGCTTAAGGACTAAGGCTCGTTGTAGCTATGGTCATTCGGGCCCATTCCCTGTAGCTGCAAGGAGCAGAGGAACAGGTATGGTAATCACTCTCTGCCTAGTATTGGGGTGTGTCTCTGTTCTCTCCACCCATGTCTACACCCCCATCTGGGTGTACTTCCCAGTCATGGGCCTGCCCCTTTTACTCCCTGCTACTGAAGGGTAGAGGTCCTGCCATCCTGGTGGAGAGCCTTGACCCTGGAGGGGCGGGTGGGGTATGGGTGCACGGTTTGGCCTGAACGTTGTTCATCTTTGAAGCCTTTCCAGACTAAGGGTCTCTGGTGTTTAAAGAGCCAAGAAATGGAATACTGTTTATCATGCCGGGATTTTTCATTCTTTCTATCTTTAGGTCCCCATATTAGCCCTCTGAAGAAGCAGGTAGAGTTATTACCATTTGAGAGATGAGGAAGCTGAGACTCAGGATACACCTTGCTCCTATAATACAGCGAGTGAGCAACCAAGCTAGGATTCTGGCCTTGTCTTTTTGAGAGAGGCCTGCGTGGTGAATTGAACACTAAGGGAAACAGGAAAACTTTGCGGCCATCCTCTGAACTTTGGAGGTTTGGTGAGTGCAGCTCCCTTGCTGTGTGTACTGTTTTCCACGTTATGTTGTACAGTCCGTCCTCACTTAACATAGTTGATAGGTTCTGTGACTTTAAGTGAAGCAATATATAATGAAACAAGTTTACCATAAGTTAATTGATATAAGCAACAGTTAGGTTCCTGTGTCATCTCATCAACATTATAACAAAATGACTTGGAATGAAACCACATTATTCAAGGACCTGCTGTAATTATTTGTGAATGTGTCTTCCCCCCCCCCCCCAGGAAATATCATTTAAAATATTCATAAACTTGGCAGGTTTATTTTCTCGTTCTCAAAAATCCTCTTTGGTTTGTATTCCCTTAGTTTTCATGCCTGTTTTTATTAGGATATCCACCATGATGGACAGCAGTCTATTTAAAAATGCCATGGATATTTTCAAACACAAAAATAGAGAGAATAGTATAACGAGCCATATACTCATTGCCCAGCTTCAACAGCCATTAAGATTTCGAGATTATGCCAAGCTGGTGTTCTCTCCCTCCCTCTCCTCCGCCTCCTCCCTCTCTCTCCTTCCTTTTTCCTCTCCCTCCCTCTCTCCCTCTCCTTTTTCTTCCCTCTGTTCTGTCTTCCTGAGGTACTTCACAGCAAATCTCTGTATTATGTCATTTTCCTCCTAAATAATCTAGTTTCTATCTATTTTAGAAAGAATAATCTCTTTCATAACACACTGCCATTATTGCATGTAACAGAATTAACAGTAATTCTTTGGTCTCATCTGTCCATATTCAGATTTCTTTGAGTGTTTGAATCAGAACCCAGATGGAGTCTGTATAGCGCATTTGTTTGTGAGTCCCTTTATGCCTATATTAACCTGAAGCAGCACCCACCCCACCCCACCCCGCTTTTAGCCAGCAATTACTCCCTGTTTTGAGGGCCCACCTCCTCCACTGGACAGGGAACCCCTTGAGAGTGGAGTTGGCTTCTCTGCCATGCTGGATCCCAGTCCCTTGTCTAAGATGGGGTGGAGGCTCCTTGTGCATCTGTCCAGTTGTGTCCTAGCCATGCAGGAAGTTCGTTTTGAATGAATGAACCCTGTCGCAGCTTTGTGTGACTGCTTGGGCCTGCGTTTAGATAAGAGGTTTTTAGAGAGATGACTTGCTTGCGTGTCGACTTTCCTCAGCATACGTCAGTCTCTAAACATCCTGAAATAATAGAACTCTTCACTGTGCTCACCTAAGCTGCTCTGGTTTGTGGTGGGGAGCCCAGACAGCCGCATTTGTGCCCTGATCAGCAACTGGCCACCCCCACATCATGTGTGGGGCTGACAGAGACTGAGGTCATTTTTGCCTGACCTTTGAATCCTGACTTACTTAGCCACAGGGATTCCATGTTAAGACCCCGACACTTGGCATTTGGACTGCGAGGAGAACACTCTCTCTTTTTTTGTCCTTTCTCTGGACAGCGCTTCTTCCCTTGTGCCTTCAGGAGCCTTCTCTAACCTGCCTCACACCTGGGCAAGTTGTGGTGTCTTTCTCACATCTATATGCATCTGCAACTGGTAGGTCATGACAGAAAACCAACACTTGATCGTTTAGTGTCTTGTCTGAACTTGGGGTGAAGAGGTAGTTCTACCACTGGCACTTTTGTAGGAGTCCTAAGGAAAAGGAGACCAGAGGCCTAAGAGGGAGGAAAGGTGTGCTTCCTCCCCTTGATAAGGAGCTTCACACCTGAGTCCCTCTCTGTTCAGCCTCTTCAAGGTGCTGGGCACTGCCACAGATCTCTTCTAACTCACCGGCAGGGACCTGTCTTTGCAAACAGCCCTCAAATGAAGAGGTTCTTTTTCTTTTTTTCTTCCTCATCCTCCTCTTCATCATTCTTAACCATTGATAGTCTTTTCCACTGGGCAGGAATATAACAAAATGTAAGTCTTTCTCTCTGGATGGTAGGGCCAGAGTCGAATTTTTTCCCCTTTATCTTTTACTTCTCCATATTTTTCCAAAATTTTATAATAAAAATATTTTATTTTTATAATGAAAAACCCAAATATTTGTGTTTTTCTTAAAAAAGAGAACATCCTTCCACCAATTTGGATGGGTAGACAAAATTAAAAATGCACTTGGTGTAGCTTATACATGTGGATTAGGTCACAGAGCCATTAGAATTTTGATGTTTAATTATTTTATAGTATTATTTTAAAGAACATACCTGGACTTCCTAAAAGTTAGAAAAATAAAGAAAGCTGGGGCTTAGGAGATGGGAAGCTGTGATACCCATGTAGCCTCACCCTTTCTGTGATTCTACTTCCTCCCTTCTTCCTGAGGATTTCATTTCATTTCATTTCCCCAGCCTGCAGTTGCTCTAATGTTAACCTCCTGGTTTTGACTTTAAAAAAAAATTGGGGTAGATATCAGAGGAAGACAGTATGATATACTGTATTGAAACAAGGCTGCCAGGGCAAAGCTTCAGACTCCGATGGCCTATCTTGTCCTCTTCAGAAAGTGCCTGATAGCCAAGCACTCTGGTCCCCTCATTTTGGGGGATCCTGATCCCTCCCCTCACCATTTTGTTTTCTTCCCTGCACCCTCCCCAGAGGTAGACAACATGTCTGGTCCATGCTGATAAGGCTCCTCCTCTCTAAAGCACCAATCATCTTGTCTCAGAAACTCAGAGCTGGTGGGGGTGATAGGGGACGTGGGCCCTCTGGTACAAACAAACCTTCATTGCAGGATTGCCTCACTATGGAGTCTGATTTTTGAGATGATTCCTTTTTCTGTCAGCTGTTGAGGAAGCATCTATCCCTGAGCCCCAAATGAAGAGCCTTTTGTAAATATCAGGTATGGTATCATTTCTTAAATGTAATTGCTCTGTACCCATCCCTCTATCTAAACATTAGTACAGTTCATCACAGAAGGACCTGCTTGTCTCTGTGGTGACTGGCAGGGAGTGGTGTGTGTGGATGCTGCTGATGTTCTTAGGGCTGGGATTTTTAGTGAGTTCTTTCTTTTTATTAAAATTTTACTTATTGATTTTAGAGAGAGGAAGGCAAGGAGAAGAGACAGACATCGATTTTGTTGTTCCACTTATTGATGCATTCATTGTTTGATTTTTTAAAAAGATTTTTATTTATTTATTTTTAGAGAGGGAAAGGGAGGAAGAGAGGGAAACATCAATGTGTGGTTGTCTCTTGAGCACCCCCTACTGGGGACCTGGCTCACATGTGGCCTGACTGGGACTTGAACCAGCGACTCTGATTTGCAGGCTGATGCTCAGTTCAATGAGCCACACCAGCCAGGGCCATTGTTTGATTCTTGTATGTGCCCTGACTGGGGATCAGACCCACAACCTTGGAGTATATGAATGACATTCTAACCAACTGAGCTTCCTGGCCAGGGCTTTTAGTGTGTTTTTTATTAGCACTCATGTTTCTCCCGCCTGAGAGTCAGGGTAATTTCCCACCCTAAATGCCCTCCTCCCAGGGGCTGTCCAGCACTTGCATTTCTTCCAAGGCTCAGTCAAAGTTCTCTTTGGGGAATCCAGAGGGCTTGTTTCCTGCTGGTTTGGGGCTCAGGTTTTTCTCCTTGCTGGGCAGTGGGGGATGTCCAGTGCAGATGTCCTTTCTGCTGGCTGCAAGAATTGGGTGGCCAGGAGTTGGAGGGCAGCTCCTGGTCCCAGAGCTGCCACCGCAGCAGGTTTATGGAACATTTGCAGGCCGGAGCTGCTGACACACCCAGTCTAGAAGCCCAGCCATTCCGGAGACAGGATTGGGAGTCCGGGGACAGCGTGTTCTGGCCTTGCCACTGTGGTGTCAATGTGTTAAGACATGGAAACTACTTCTTTGCTCTCATGACTGAATATCTGGCTCTGGCTACTTACTTGAGTACTGACTGTTTCTGGTGAAGATATGCAGGATTTCAGGGTTTAGCCGGTACCTGGGCCCAGGTGGATAAGGTGTAGGGAAAGAAGAAAAAGTTCCTGGAAAGAAGTTGGACTTTTGGTCACTAAGGAGAGTGGCTCCCTGGAGCAGAGTGGCCCCAGGGTCTGCCAGGGGCCTGGCAGAGCTGCTGACCCCTCTGTTGGACAGCTGTTTTCCTCAGGGAAGCAGAATGGGGGTTGAGGTGTGGTATGTGGAGTTTATGGTTGCTATAACGTCAGGTGTTGTCACTCCAGCATCAGGACAGCTGGGCCTTTGCACAACTTAATGTTAAAGTGATGAGTCAGGATCTCCCTGCTTGGGGAAGGAAGGAATCTGATAACCAGATGAAAAGGAAAACAATAGGGGAATAAGCAGCGGGTCCGGAAGGCCTCTCTCCAGGCTCTAAGGGAGAGGATTCAGTCACTCTCCTTCTCCAGGAAATGTCCTGTGGGGCTCCTGCAACCAGAGCGGGCCTTGGGGACCACAAGGTTCCTGCTGAGAGAGCTTCTCAGCCATCAGCCTGGAGTCGCAGCACATTCCTGTTGTGAAGGAGGGAGGAGGAGGCTCTGGCTGAAGTCTCAGGCTTCCTCTCAATTCTAGGCTTGCTGCAACCAGGGAATCCAAAGGCTCCTGCTTGGCCCAGGTTTCCACCTCCAGTTTGGGTGGGTTTGTTATCTTGTATCTCACATTTTGGACTCTGGTGAAAATGACTCACCCACCCACATGTACATAAATGTGTGGTACAACGCTCCCCCATCCTCAGATGCATGGTACTCACCCTTACAAACATACATAGATGCATGGTCCGCAGTCCCACACATGCATAGATGCATGGCACTCACCTCCCCCACACATACGCATAGTTAGCATGGTATTCATTCCCACACACAATACATGGGTGCATGTAAAATAGTCAATCAGTACAAAGGGAATTCAATGGAAAGTTAATCTTCCCTCTTCCTCTGTCCTCCAGCCTTCAGTCTTCTTCTTCAGTGGCATCTGCTGGCCCTAGTCTCCTGTGGATCCTACCAGACAGGCTCTATGCATATCTTTGTGCCTGTGTTCCGCCCCCCACCCCCTCCCTTTTCAGCCCTCCTGGGCCGCA